AATTTTTTTGGTGTGTTCTTTGATATCTACTGGAAGAATACAAAAGCACTAATTTGAAGGGATATAAGCATTCCTTTGTTCATTGCAGCACTATTTACAGTAGCCAAGTTATGCAAACCACGTAATGCACAATGACAGACGAGTGGTTAAAGAAGTTGTGATATATATACACCATGGAATACTACTCAGCTATAATAGAAGATGAAATCTTACTGTTTGCACCATAATTGGAAAAGGAAGGAATTATGCTAAAGGAAATAAGTCAGAAAGCGAAAGATAAATCCCAAATGGTTTCACTCATGTGGAATATAAGAAACCAAGAAAGGAACAGACAAAACCAAACCAAAACAAACCCTTAAAATCTGACTGCAAAACTGAGGCTACTGGAATGGGATAGAGGGGGGAAGCAAAGAGGGCAGGGAGGCCAGTGGGCTATGGTAGAGAATTATTGGGGCTTTGGTGGTGGGTATGGTGTAATAACATATATTTGTAGAGGTGTGACCCTATTCTCCTAGAATACATACAGTGCTGTGTACCAATATTAACTCAATGAACATAATTAAAAAAATAAACTAACAAATATTTGTTTCCAACATGGTAAATCCACTTGTTTTTCCCATTTTTTGTCATTTGGTTCTGAAACAAGTGTTTTCTGTTTTTTTCTCTAGTGGTCCTAATCCTGGCTTCAAGCCTGAGCTCAATAAATGTTTGAGAAGAATAAATTGTCAGTACCAGCTTGTAGTGTTTTCCTAAGACCTCGATGAAGTAAAATTTCCACTTAAAGAGCAGAGATCGTTTCTTTTGGGGCATTGAGGACTCTTCCCCCATACTTCTTTTTAACCCGGGAGGAGGTCTCTTTTGGTGACTGTGCGGGCAGACTGGTCTTGCCCTCCTGATGCCCCATCAATTGAATCACTAAGTGTGTAGCTGTAGGCTAAGGAAAAATGTCAGGCTTTTCTGCCCTCCGCCATCAGGATAGATGATGGATCCTTGCGGTCCTGAATGCATGCCTGATGGCGGGCACCTGGAGTAGGGTGTGGGCATAGGTGGATGGGATTCACCTGGGCTGAGACTGTGCTTTTAAGGGCGGTGTCACGGGGACTCCAGCAGTAGCAGAAGCCAAAAGAGGAGAAGCCCGAAGCAGAAGCAGAGAATGCCAGAGAGCCCAGATAGAGTGAAGATTTGCTGGGGGCTGGGAGGACTGCCAGCCTCCCAGCCCCCCAGCACCCCTGCCTGCCATGTGCCTGGTGAACCCCAATAAATAACCTGCAAAAACCACTGAGGACTCTGACTCCTCCTTTACCCGGTCTGCATGGGATCAGAAAACCTGCACTGGTCCAGTCCTGCCCTTTACAGTGGCCTTCTGGGCTTGGCCTCCAGGAAAAAGTTCTTCCGAAGGCTGTCACCCAGCCTAGTTGGGTTCAACCCAGTGATTTCCCTTTTCCAACCCAGGTGAGTGGAGAGGTTGCCCGAAACCCATCCCTGGGCAGCCTCCACAGAACTCTCCCATCATTAATGGTGTCCCTTTGCCCTGGAAACCAAAAACAAAACCAAGACCTCTTGACTCTGGGTTGCCAACACTTTTGAAGCCAAGGTCTGAATTGATGACGAGAGCATGAAAGACTGTAGCAGGCTCCGCCCTCTTTCCAGGCTGATGAACTTCGCTTAGTCCACAGTAAATCACCTTAATAGCCACTGGACCAGCATTGTTGCCGGATGTTTTATGCCCATGCTGGCAGTTCTCTAGGGTGGTCAAGTCAAATTGCCAAGTGTTGAGTTACAGTTACAGGCCTTTCCTCACTTCGTGCATATTTATGAAGAGGCAAAACAGCCAAAGGTAAGTTCACCGCAGGACTTTCAACAACTAGGTTCATAAAAAGGAGGGAAAACCAAACAAGGTCCCCTGTAACTTGGCCCTCCTCTGACACTGTGGACACAGAAGCCGCCTTCCCCTAGAGTGGTACATATCACCAAGTGGCCCCAAGATTCATTGACCAGGTGAAAAAGGACTGTGTGTTTTGGGCTGGGCCCATCAGGGGCTGGGAATGGGTCTATCTGGCTTTGGGCCTTCAGTGGAGAGGAAAGAAGTTTCCCAGAAACTCTGACTAATTGAAGATGTCAGGAAAAAAAATTCTAAATCTCTTCTTCACTCAGTGTATATTTTTATTGTGAGTTGATTGCACTGCATGTGGATAGTTGTCTACACATCAGCAGGCTGTTAAGGCCCATAAAGATGCAAAATGCCAGCCTCCCTGGTGACGCAGGCGGTTGAGTGCAGTGTTGTGACCTTGTCTGCAGCCTCTCCAGTGCCGGTTCGATCCCTACCGGCCTTGGAGCAACCCACATGGCGAGCAGATCTCTCCTGTCTTGCCCGCTGCTCCCCTCAGCAGTGTATTTTGTCAGTCTGCTTGTTCTGTTTCCCACTCTGTCTCTGGTGAATCTTCTCATCCTTCCAAACGTCCGGCCTGTACCCCGACTCTTGTATAAATGAAATAAAATCTTAAAAAAAAGGATTGTTTAAAAAAAAAATGCAAAATGCCCCCCCCCCATCACTGGTAAAGCTTGGGGGCACAGCCATTGGAATAGCCAGTCCCCGAGATACATCAGTTGGGGTGCCCTTTCTCTCCTGCCTGGTAGGACGATATGTATAAGCCAGGCGGGTAGGTTCAGTAGATGCTCCCAGTTCTCTGTTTTTTAATTTGTTTTTTCTGGTTTGGGTGTGTGGGGACATCTCTACTTGTTCATCCAGAGATGATGACACAGAAGGGCAGGGAGGATGGGGAAGCAGGGGCTGCTAAAAAGTTCTTCAGTTGCTTCTTTTCCATCTGAATGGCTTTTCCCCTTCACACATTCCCTAAGGACAGGACAGGGATATACAGTGCCTTTCCCTTCTTAAGACTTCCTGCCCTTGGTGCAGGTAGGGTAAAGAAAATGTCAGGCTTTTCTGCCCTCCTGCCATCAGGATAGATGATGGATCCTTGTCCTGAATGCATGCCTGATGGCGGGCACCTGGAATAGGGTGTGGGCATAGGTAGATGGGATTCACCTGGGCTAAGACTGGGCTTTTAAGGGCGGCGTCACAGGGATGCCAGCAGCAGCAGTAGAAGCCGAAGCAGAAGCCGAAAGAGAAGCCGAGAAGCAGCAGAACGAACTCCAGAGAGCCCAGATAGAGTGAAGACTTGCCAGCCTCCCAGCCCCCCAGCCAGCACCCCTGCCTGCCATATGCCTGGTGAACCCCGATAAAAAACCTGCAAAACTACTGAAGACTCTGACTCCTCCTTTACCCGGTCTGCATGGGATCAGAAAACCTGCACTGTGTCCAGTTCCTGCCCTACAGTGCATCTCTTGTTTATTATTACAATGTAACTGAAAAAACGAATACACTTTGTGGTAAGAACCAACAAAGGGCACTTAATGAAAAGAATTCTTCCCTCTTCAGACCCCAGGCTCCCTCCCCTCAGCCCTCAGAGGAAGCCACTAGCTTTCGTGTTTGGGATGTCAACCTCCTTTTTGTATTTACTTTTACTTGTGTGAAATGTTGGGGGAAAATGGGAGGAAGGAATTGTGATTTGCTGTCTGCCCTTGGCTGTCAGAGCTCAAGGACAAGGTTGACCCACTCAGTGGTTATCGCCATGTCTGAAAGCAGGACTGCTGGCACCCCACCTGGGAGGTTGGGGCAGATTTTTTTTTTTTAAGGTTTATTTATTTATCTATCTATCTATCTATCTATCTATCTATCTATTTATTTATTTATTTATACAAGCACTGGGTACAATCAGAAGCCTGGAAGGGTGAGAGAATTCACCAGAGGGTCTGCGCGCCATGCGGGACCCTCCTCAGGTGGCCGGGGAGCAAGCGGGGATCGAACCGGCGCTGTAGAGGCTGCGGGCAGCTTCGCAACCCGGCGCTCAACCGCTGTGCCACCGGGAAGGCCCAGGGCGGATCTTTTAAAGGAAGCAGAGGAGAGAATATTATCCATGTAACAGTGCATTTTATAAAATTGGAAATAATGAAGAAGTAAATAATGATGGTATATTTTCACGAAGTGTTATGACTATTTTTGATGAATTTTTAATCCCAGGGAATGTTCATTATGTTAATATTAAGTGACAAAAGCAAAGCATCAATTATAACAAATCATTGCAAAATGGTGGGAGTCTTTTTTAAACAAACCTAGAGATAAATACATGTGGAAAAGATTGTAAATATTATTAATGGTTATCTCTACCAGGAGAGGATTTCAGGTGATTTTCATCTTTGAGTCTTTCTGCGTTTTTCCAAATTATTCCTAATAATCTTGCTGCATTTGTGGTCAGAAGAAAAATATTTAATAATATACCTTTAGGTAAAAAAAATAAATGTGTGTTCAAAGGTTAAACTGCTTTTGCTAGTTTCTGACCTGAAAGAGTTGTCAAGATCTGGAAAACAGAAAAGAGAATCTCCTTCAGGAAAAGCCCTGCAGGCTCCTTAACCCTACCAAGCCTTGTTCACCCCTTTTCTGCTGCCACTTTAACCCACCTTTTGACAGTAGAGAGAATGACTCTGGCTCAGGAAGATCCTAGGAGTATTCCCAGGTGGGCGGGCAACCCATGCTAGCTTAGATGAAAGACATAAAAGAACTGAAAATTCCAGGGCTCACATTTATTGAGTATTCCCTCTGTGTAAGCAATGCCACTAACTGTAACCCTCCTCCTCTCATTCGCTCCCTTTCCTCAATTTATTAATGCATTTAATCCTCAGTATGACCTTATGAAGTTGGTACTGCCAGTACTCCCACTTTAAAGATGAACATGTTAGGGGAAAAGGATGTCCTGAGTAAATTCCATACAGGCTTTGTGAATGCCACCCCCACTGCATCAAGACACTGGGAACTACAAATCCCATGATCCCCAAAGGCAAGTTGTGAGGACCTAAGGGTGGAGTTAAGCAGCCATTTTCTCTGTTTGTAAATAAAAACCAGCCATGTTAGTGGGGTCTCAGGCACTTGGTTCATGGTCTCGGGCCTTTGGCTCGCACTCTCAGCCAGGCATGTTTGGTCTTGGCAGGTCATTTGGGATTCCAGGTCAGTGGAATGGGTAGGATGCATTTAAGAATTTATCTCCCTCTTTTCTCCCTGAGTTGTACATTTTCTCATTTCCACTTCATTGTAAATAAATCTTCGTTAACCTTTTGTTTGTGCCTGCAGTTTAAGTCCCTTTTAAACCCTTTTAAGTCCCTTTTAAAGTCCTCACCTGCACAGGTGAGGACCCACAGTCTGGAAACCTGTTTTATATCGGGGTTGCCCTGTAACAAACACACTGAGACCCAGAAGGATAGTACCCCAAGTCACACCCCTATAAGTAGGATGCCAGGATTTGAATCCAGCTTTGATGGTGCTAAGTTGGGGAGTGGGAAAAGCAGTGGATAGGGAAGAGAGAAACCCAATGTGGTTCTGAGCAGGCCAGAAACCACCGGTCCTTCCCACTCCGTAGAATACATCAGGATGGGGTGTTGTAGGCTAAGGAAAAAATGTCAGGTTTTTCTGCCCTCCTGCCATCAGGATAGATGATGGATCTTTGCGGTCCAGAATGCATGCCTGATGGCGGGCACCTGGAGTAGGGTGTGGGCATAGGTGGATGGGATTCACCTGGGCTAAGACTGGGCTTTTAGGGGCGGTGTCACAGGGATGCCAGCAGAAGCAGAAGCCGAGAGAGAGAGAGAGAGAGAGAGAGAGAGAGAGAGAGAATGCTAGAGAGTCCAGGTAGAATGAAGACTTGCTGGGAGCTGGGAGGCCTGCCAGCCTCCTGGCCCCCCAGTACCCTTGCCTGCTGTGTACCTGGTAAACCCCAATAAAAGCCTGCAAAAAGCCACTGAGGACTCTGATTCCTCCTTTACCAGGTCTGCTGGATCATAGAAAACCTGCACTGTGGTCTTCCTACCCTTTATAGATGTCAAGAGGCAATTTGGAGTAGGGGCCTCCACCTGAACCTGGACAAGGTTTTCTTGCCTCTAAAGAGCAGAAATACAAAGATTAAAAAAAAAATACTTGTGATTTATTGTGAGTGCTGGTATTTGAGACACTTAGACACCCAAGTTTCTAGAGTGATTCTGAAGAGAACTTTTAGGCATGCTTGAGGAATTTCAAGGTAGCAATGCTTTTTATTCCAATTTCACTTTTGAACATGTGTCTTTTCTGTTCTGTGTTCCAGACGGGAGTCCCTAGATCTATCCTTATGTTCATCAGTCTTTAATGAATGAAGTTGGTTTTGGCATCCAGATGGAACACAGCTGGAAAGTGATGGGGGCAGGTAAGAGACGGAGTTTTCATGGGTTCCTGTGCAAAGAAGAGAAGGAAATGAGTTAGAGTTTCATGTGAAAAACAATGCCTATTGCTGGTGATGGTAACAGAAAAAAGAAAAGGGTGGGTATTAGTCCCTTAAGGAGAAAGAAAAGATTATATGTTCTGCATACCTGGCACCAGGTGCAACACTGGCTCAGTGCAGCTTGGTTGTCTAGTTACGGCTGGAGTGAGCCATGCATGATTGTGCCATGGGGAGTGAAGGGGAACCAGTAGTTTGCCGGCTGGTGGAGAAGGGAAAAGAAAAAGTGCTGCTCACAGCTTGTATTGCCCTACTTTATTGGGTCCATTTTTCAGCAATTAAAATGTGAAGGGAATTGACTGTTATTGTACACCTGCAATATGTCATGTGCAGTGCCCAGTTCTCTCATTTACTTACTTTATTTAATTCTGGAACAACTTTCTGAGTTGGTGTTAGAGCCACTTTACACCCAAGGATAGGGAAGTTTAGAAATGTTAGTTACTCCTTCAGGGGCTTAGAGTTTGTTAAAGCCACAACCAAGATCCAACCCAATAGCTGTTGCTACCAAAGCTGAATTCAATTGACTTTCCACATTGGCTCCAGAGATGAGTGGGAAGCGCTGTGTTCAGTGTTTTACTGTCTTTAAAATACTAACTTGAGTAGGACAATGTTTTTTAAATGCACATGAATTTAAGGATGCCCAGGATGTTTGTTAAAATACATCAATTCCTGGGCTCTACTCCTAGAACTACCGATTTTTATAATCTCTATGGGAAGAGCCTGAGATTCTATTTTTAACATGTTCTAAATGTGATTCTGATGTGCTCAGGCAAGTTTGGTCAACATTGGTATAGATTGAGTTTCACATTTATGAATATAAGCTTATTAGGCTGCAAAGTGTTTCTTTGTAAGGTGTTATGTGGTTCAGGAAATCAGACTGATGGATTTATGGACCTTCCCTTGATTGCTGTCAATCTGCTGCTCATTTTTTACATTATCACATTATTTGAAATAATGGAGATTATATTTACATTTGGTGGTAAGATTAAAACATTTACATTGGTGGTAAGATAAAAATATTTCATCTGCTATGGTGTGATTCTCCATTTTATTTTATATGCTAGAGCAGAAATATTTATTTGCATGAATTGAACTGAAAGAGATTGTCTGGTTAAGTAGCAGGAGTTTGAAGTTTGGTTAACCGACTGAGTTGTAAAAGGCAAACGTACATCTTTAACTTCATCTTGCCTTTGGTGGGTCCTGGTAGTATTCCCAGATTTATCCATCTGAGTGGGTTTAAGAGGAGATTGTTGAAGCCAATATTCTTTCATCTCTACCACCCCTCCCACCTGCAGATTATTTGCACAAAATTCCTGGCATATCATCTCAGCTATACATATTTCAGTGTGCATTTCTGAAAGAGGGACTCTTAAATACAACCACAGTATCATTCTCCTAAAATAAAACAACAATATTAACCAACATACTCATTCAGACTCTGAAATTTTCTTGAGAATCTCATAAATTTAACATTTGCTTTGTTTGAATCAGATTTGCCTACCACATCTGTTTCATAAATTTGCCAGATCTTTCTTATTCTGTAGATTTCTTCTTCCTTTTTTTCCCCCTTGAAATTTATTTATTAAAGAAACTGATGTTTGTCCTGTAGAGTTTTTTGCAGTCTGGATTTTGATGATTTCATCCCCCTGATTTTGTTTAACATCCGTGAATTCACTATTTTTTTAAAGATTTATTTATTTATGCATACAAGAGCTGGGGTACAGTCCAGAGGTGTGGGGGGGGGGTGAGAGGATTCACCAGAGACAGAGTGGGGAACAGAACAGGCAGAGTGACTGAAATACACTGCTGAGGGGCGCAGCGGGTGAGTCAGGAGAGGTCTGCTGTGCCATGTGGGTTGCTCCCTGGCTGGCCGGGAATCGAACTTGTGCTGCAGAGGCTGCAGATTGCTTCATAGGTTGTGTCTTAACCCCTTGTGCCACCAGGGAGGCCCTATTTATTATTATTACTATTTTTTTAAAGATATATTTATTTTTATACAAGAACTGGGGTACAGGCCAGAGAAGCAGGAAGGTGAGAGGATTCACCAGAGACAGAGTTGGGAGCAGAACAGGCAGATGACCAAAATACACTGCTGAGGGGAGCAGCGGGTGAGACAGGAGAGATCTGCTGTGCCATGTGGGAATCTCCCCGGCTGGCCGGGAATCAAACCCGCACTGCAGAGGCTGCGGACAGCTTCACGGGGCTGCATTCAACCTGCTGTGCCACCGGGGAGGCCCTTGTTTATTATTTAAACAAATTTTTGTTGAGCTCCTGTTGTGTTTAAGGTGCTAGATTCTCATTCACCTAGTTCTTGCCCACATGGGACCTCGTGACAGGCACAGATATTAAGTAATACTTTGATTTTGTCAGTAGGTTTGTGGCTCTATGTATGTTATTCTGCTTGTGTATGTGTGTGTCTGTGATGTGCCAGAGTTGAAAGTCTTTAACCTCTTTTTAATCATCCCTCCTTCAGTTGCAAGTATCAAAGTCCAAGTCAAACTAGTTTGTATGTAACAGGGAAATTATTGGCACACTTTAACTAGGAAATCTCTGTATGCTTATGGCTTCAGACTAGGGGTCCAAACCATACCATCAGGTTGCTGGTACTTTCTACATCCCAGTCCTTCTGTAGTCTGTACTGCTTCTTCTCCCTGGCTCACATTGGGGTCAACAACTTTAGGCTTACATTTCACCAGCCCTCTGGAAAGAAAGGGCTTCTTTCTCCCTCTTTCTCGACAGTTTCTATGAGTCCCACATGTCCACACCCCCAGTTTTAAAGTAATTGCTGTGATCAGGGGAATTGAGAAAATTAATTGGCCACCTTGGTTTCCATAAATTGTATGTACCAGAGGATTCCTCAAGAAATTTTGAGATGCCGACACCCAAAGAATGGGAGATACCCTTAAGAAATGAACAATGCACTCAAAATGACCATACAAATTTTTCAGACCATAGTACTTTAGAGAATAAAAGGAGGCACCATTAGTAATGGCAGTGGGACCACAGGTATAAACAGGTATTTTTCGGGGGAAATCTGGAACATATGCTCACTCTATAGTATGAATTTGGAATCAGCTGGGTTTGAACTCATCTCTACCACTTACGAGCTGTTTGGGAAAATTAGTTGACCTTTCTGAGATTGTTTCCTTATCTCTAAAAAGAGCTTCCCTCAGAAGTCTTTTGTGAGGATAAAATGAGACATTGTTTATCAAGCGCAGTGCTGGAGCTGGTCAATGGTCAATAAACATGGGTTATTGTTATTCATTCTATCATTAGTATACCATTAGTCTATCTATAGAAACTTATGCAGTCCCTGGGTTGACCTTCCGCCAACCATTGTTAAAATCTGGAGTTTGGATGCTCCTTTGTGATACATGTGGTTGGATCACAGGACAATGTGACCTACTTGGTCTTCAGCCACACATCTGCCCAGGTGTTTCTGCCCTGAAATCAGCCCTTCTGTGATCCCATCAGTTAGCTGTAGCCCCAGCCCTATACCCAGTCAGCTGCTAAGTGGTCAGTTTGTGTGTGTGGCATTGACACCACACTGAAAAGTGTTGGTAAGTAAGCTGCAGGGGTTTTATAACATCTCCCAGGAGTGTTAAACTGCAGGGAGGAAAAACTGTAAAGGACAGTCAAAAATGTAATAAAAAATCAAGTCAAGCCATCACCAAGTCTCAGCAGTTCGCAGTGCTAAATTCCAAGCCCCAAAGAAACATACAAGCCAAATATTTTAGTGAATGTCTTTAGCCTCAGACACCTGGTTTGGAAACACACACCACCTGTGCTGCATTAAACCTGCGAAAAACCCAGGAAGGAAATACAGTGTATGAGGCCAGAAAAGGGTGGGCTCCTGGATCCTTTAGGTTAAACAGCAGGCTGTAAATGACTCTTTTCAAAACAGACATATTACTTCCCAAGATTGCGGCCTGCCACAAAGAAAGGTACACACAGCAGTGGTTCCCAGCAAGAGTTATACTATATGGCTATTAGAGGGGAATAGAAGCAGCTTGATTCTCACCAATGACAGGAAATAAGGTCAAGTAAAGATAACAAGTCTTTGAATTAAAGAAGCTTTAAACACACATCCTGGCCTTACGCCTTCAGTAGCGAATAAGAATTATGGAATGAAGCCTTGGGTTTTCTTACTACCTTGAAGCTGGACTCTTGAAACACACGCTTTCCCTGATTAACTCCAGGGAAGACTGTGTGGGAAGCACTAGTGCCCTCATATCTTTGACTTATTTATGCTCATTCTAAATAGACCTCAATGCTATGTTGCTGGAGACCTGGACGGGGATGGTTTCAGGAGTTAAAAGTCTCACAAGTAGTGGATTTGATAGAGTTGGTGGTAAATTCCTTTAGATTTAGAGGTCAAGACTGCATTACTTTTGTCTAGGTAATAGGGAAGGGAGGCCACAGACCCCAGCAGTAATCGGCCAGTGTATTTCTATGTTGCCATATTCTTCAAGGACAAGATATCCAAGCAGGTTTGACTTAATTCAACAAGACAGTATCAGTTCTGGGAGGAAACCCCCCCCCCCCAAACAAAACAAACATCAAAAGGTTGTTTGTCATGTAGAGAAACACCTGGTTGTTAACCTGGATTCCCCACCCTGTTGTGCAGACTGTATTTATTGTACACCCACTTTGGTTTTCTTCCTCCCTGGGTGGGAGGGTCGTGTAGGAGGGGGAGTGGGGAGTGCAAGTGTTTAAATCAAACAACCAATTATAACATTTCAAAAAAGCAATCCAGTTAAGTCAGTTAGCTAACTGGCTACTCTAAAAATAACCAACTGGGGCCTCCCCTGGTGGCGCAGCGGTTGAGTGCTGGGCTGCGAAGCTGCGCGCAGCCTCAGCAGCACCGGTTCGATCCCCGGCCGCCGGGCAAGGGTCCCACATGGTGTGCAGACCCCTCCTGCCGCCCG